GACTCCCTCCTGAATACCATCTACGGCTTCGGGGACAACAATCCTGACGCCATCGCTCGCATCCAGAGGCACCGCGCTCGATGCAACCGGACAAAGGGGGCCAGAGCGGAATCGTACGGAAGAGAGGTACAGTCGAAACCGATGGTGTTGATGGGTAACCTTCCCGAGGTGCCCGTTCATCCGTGCCTTTTTCTTGAGCCACCCTTGGCCACTCTCGATGACCCGACGCGCTCGACAAAAACTTGAACGCGGGCGTCTAAGGGTCGAATGAGGGATCGACTACATCACCCCACAAGTTCTTTCCCTCGTCGAACCCATGGAAACTGCGTCCAACTTTCTGGTAGGTGCGTATTCGTCTACAGACACGGCGCGAAAATGACTCCTGGGGTGAACCAATTCTGTAGTCCCAGACCCCCGACGTCGTGATTTTTGCACGGCGTCGGCCCCCAGAGGCCTGGACCCCTTCTCCGGGACCCGCCTCTCATCCCGCGCCGTTTTCTTGAGGGTCCCGGGGCCCGGGAAGTGCCCCCCGGGGGCCGAAGACAGCGACGAGCCTCCCGTCGTGGCTCCCTCGCGACGCGAGGGGGGGAGGAGGAGGAGGAGGAGGAGGAGGAGGAGGAGGAGGAGGAGGCGGAGGAGGAGGAGGAGGAGGAGGAGGAGGAGGAGGAGGAGGAGGAGGAGGAGAGGAGAGGAGGAGGAGGAGGGGGTCTGGGGGTCGACCCCCCCCCCCTCGAGGGAGGCTCGCCACCTTCTCGCGCATCCCCACCCATCGGTTCTGGCCGCAGCACGTGCGGCCCGGGCGGAGGGGGCGGTCCGCGCCGCGCCGCGCCGCTCCTCCTCCTCCTCCTCCTCCTCCTCCCTCCTCCTCCTCCTCCTCTCCTCCTCCTCCTCCTCCTCCTCTCCTCCTCCTCCTCCTCTCCTCCTCCTCCTCCCCCTCCTCCCCTCCTCCTCCTCCTCCTCCTCCGCCTCCTCCTCCTCCTCCTCCTCCTCCTCCGCCTCCTCCGCCGCCTCCTCCTCCTCCTCCTCCTCCTGGCGAGGCTGGGCGACGGCGCTCGTTGCGCTGCGAGGGCCTTGGACGGGTGCCTCCCGCTTCGCTGCAGGCAGCGCGCCTGGCAAGGGGGCGCGCCTTCATCTGGGGTCACTCCTGCGTCCTTGCCTCCGCGGCCCGTCCTCTGCCGTTTTCGCTGGTCGCCCGCCGACCAAAAAGTCCCAGCTTCGGCCTCCAAGGGTCTTGCGTTCTTGCCACCCGTCCTCGAGACACGTTTTGGTCGTATCCCCTCAGATCTGGGCGCTGCAGTTTTTTCACACCCGGCGTTTTCGCCAGGCTTCGATCCCGGGGGTCCTCACACATCGATCCGGCTCGAAAGATGACGCAGAAAGATGGGGCCGGGGCTCCGGTCGTGAATTTAGCTGCGATATTGTACTTTTTTCGCAGCGTCGGATCTCAGGGTCTGTGCGCAGGAGCAGGGTCGCGTTATTCTTGTTCCCCTTCCCCCGTCCTCCTGATCCCCTCTGGGCCTCTCCCGCATTCTCCTCCTGGTCCTCCCTCTGGTTTGCCCTTCGTAGTCGTCGTGGCAGTCCTCCTCCTCCTCCTCCTGCTCCTCCTTCTCGTCCATCTTCCTTAAAACACGAATCAACACAAAAAACAAAACGTTTTGAAGATGCGTGGCTTTAACAAGGCGAAGCAGCAGCCGAAGGAGGATTCGCGTTCTCCGTGAGCCAGATGGCTAGGGGTGTGCGCTGGTGGGCTTCGTGCGCTAGGCAGCTGAGCTTTCGCGCGCACTGCTGACCGACCGACGGTGCAGGCAGAGGAGAAGGAGGCGCAGAATTCTGAGAAGGGGGAGGGCGGAGGAGGGTGGACCACGGGTCTAGATAGCACGAACGGCTGCGGGCAGCCCAAGAGGGCGCTCCCTGACCAGGTGCGGCCCCACTCGACCCGGGTTGGGCATACCTTGCCCTCGCTCTCCCGGTCGGAGCTCCTCGGGCTGCGCACGAGCCGTGCTGCGAGGGAGCACGTGGCCACGACCGCTCACCGCCCGAGCGGCCCAGCACGACCACCGTTCCTGGCGCCACCCTCGCGGGGACCTCGTGGCGCGCCGCGCCGCGCCGCGCCGGCCGCGGCCACGCAGCCGTCGCCGGCTGCCGGCCCCGTGGGCGCGACGGGCGGGGGAAGCCTCCGCGCACGGCCAGGCAGGCCGGGAGGAGCTCGCCGGTCCGCCGAGCTCCAGGGTGAGGCTGCGCTCTGAAGCGTCAGTGAGGGCCAGCTGCAGCGAGAGCCGACGCGCCCCTGCCGCGGCCGCGGCCGCGGCCGCGCGCCGGCAGGAGGCGCCGGTGTCGTGGCGCAGGTGTCCGTCTCTGACGCCGAGGTCAAGGCTGATCTCGAGGGCCTGCCCGTGGCGGCATCTGCAGCCGCCACGGACTCGCAGAGGGTGAGCTGGTTGCCGTTCGTCCTGGAGGCTGACGAGCCCCGCGCGCCAAGCTCGACGTGCGCTTCTACCCGATGAGCAGGAGGAGCAGGAGCAGGGGCAGGAGCAGGAGCAGAAAAAGGAGCAGGGGCAGGAGGAGGAGGAGGAGGAGGCCCCCAGAAGAGCTCGGTGAACCCCATGGCCCACGGAGGCTTCTCCGGCGGGACCGCAGTGCGAGGCACGTGCGTCAAGATGTTGTTGACAGTTCGAGGGGTAATTATAGAGGAATCTTGTACGGAATTCAAGTTCAAATGTATTCTGTCAGTCTTCGTAGGTGACGGCTCAATTTGTGAGGGTACTTCAGACGAGAGCCCGGCTCTTGAAGGTACGTCGAATTCGGAAGCTCGCTGAACGCATTCTTTCGAATGTTGATGTTTGCAGCGACGCGAGTCGCCACACCGAGTTCGACATCCAACGCCCGAGCTCAACATATCAATGTTCTGGAGGGTGTCTCAGGCAAAAGCTTCACTTCTGAGAACCAACGTAATAGCGCAACTCCTCCAATATTCCCATAGCGCCACGATACGTCTCAGGCGAAACGCTCCCCCCATGTTGGATATCTGATGCCCGATGTCCAACATATGGTTCTTCTGAGGATGTCTCAGGCGAAATCTTCACTTATGATACCCAGCGTCGTAAAACAACTCCCTCAACATTCCCATGCTGTGGGTATCTTTAGATATATCCGACGCCACGCTTCTGAGGATGTCGCTCATTCGAGAGCGGTTGTATCAAGAACCAGCGTCGAACGGCAACTCCTCCAACATCCCCACGGTGTGAGGACGTCTCGGGCGACCCCCCCCTCCCCGCACCATTTTGGACATCCGACGCCCGATCTACAGCATTTCAGTCTTTTGAGGATGTCCCATTTGCAAGTTCCATGTTTGAGAACCGACGTCGTAAAACAACTCCAACATCCCAACTTTGTGAGAATGTCTCAGGCCGAACGCTCTTCCATACCGTGTTGGATATCCGAGGCCTGATCTCCAACATCTCATGTTTCTGCTGTCGTTTGAGGCGAAAGCCTCATGTTTGAGAACGAGCGTCGAACAGCAACTCCTTCAACATCCCCATGTTGTGAGGTCCGTAGCCATTCTGACTAAAGAAATCCTGGCTGAAGGCCAGACGTTTCCGATCAGTTCGGAGATCGCAGCGGCCGCGAGTCTGCAACGCAGCGCCAGCCGTAGAGACGGTACGCCGCGATAAGGCGGTACACTTTGCGAAGCTTGCAGGGCAGGTGGGGCGCTACGACGAGATGGCGGCTCACATGGAGGCAGTGGGGAAGTCGGCTGACGAGCTCTTGGCTGAGGACCGCAATCTCCTGTCCGCTGCCTACAAGAGCGCCCGTGGCGTCGCTCTGCATGGCATGTCATCGCCAGCGTGGAGCAAAAGGAGATCAGCAAGAATGGCGAGGAGAATCTACAGCATTCGCCAAGGAGTATTCCCAAACATGGAGTTCGAAATCGGCGACATTTCTAGGAAGATCCTTGCTGTCATGCACAGCCGTCTCGTCGAGAAGGCAACGACGGGCGAATCGAAGGTCTTGTACCAAACGATGGACAACTATCGCTACATTGCCGAATACACCACTTGCGATGACAAGACGAAGGTTGCGAATTATGCCATGAGTGCTTACCTCGAGGCGCAAAAGAGGGTGCCACCAAGGACTTGACAGTGACGCACTCGTTTCGCCTCGGCCTTGCTCTAAACTTCACCGTGTTCCAGTTTGAGGTGTTGGAGAAACCAGATGAGGCCTGGAAGATGGCGGTCACCGCTTTCAGGGGTGCAATCGCCGAGCTCGACAACGTCGCAGAAGACTTGTACAAGGACTCCACCCTCGCCATACAGCTGTTTCGCGACAAGTTGAAGCTCTGGACCTCGGACCAAGGGCGAGCCCTGAGAAGGACACAGAAGCGACGCGCAGAGTCCGCCAGGGCCGGCGGACGAGCGAGCTCAAGCTCGCTGGCAAGGCCTGCCCGAGAAGAGCAGAGCGCCTTCGTCTGGCGGCGAGGGCGGGTCTGTTTCGCCCCGCGCTGTGGATCTCCACCGCGATCTCGGCTGGGAATCTCGGCTGGAGATTTTGGCTGGGAATGTCGGCTGGGATCGCCGCGGCGATCTCGGCTGGGGATCTCGGCCGGGGACCTCGGCTGAGGACCTCGGTTGGGGATCTCGTCTCGGGGCCCCCTCTCTCTCAATTTTTTGGCAAGGCGCCACCTCCCACGACTTTGCGGCTTGTTCCACCACCAGCATTCACGGTTGAACAAGTCGCCGGCGATGCGCTCAGCAGGCGTCGAGGCAGGAGAGGTTCGACATCTGTTGTTTGCTACCCACGGCCGTTTCACACAGATGGGCATGTGCACGCCGAAGTATTTACTTGTTTCTCTAATGCATCGCAAACCCAGCGTCGTCTTTCCTGCACCTTTGCGCCAGCATGCCGCCAGATGATCTCGGTGAACTTCTACTGAGTCGGTGCCAGTGAAAGATTCGACCTGCTCGTTCTCGTACTGTTTTTGCCCTTTGTCCCTACTAGCCTTGGTTCTGGGAGAGATCAATCATACATACATCACTTGCTAAGGTGTTTGTTTTGACTGCTCGTGCTTTGAGAGCCCAGCAATTTAAGTCGAGGTGCGATCACAAGGCATAGGCCAGACGCTGCAATTCTGGTCCCCAGTTTTGCTCGCGACAGCTGCTTTCGACACGTCTCGCGGGAGCCAGGATGCACCTGGGCTCGTGGCCCGATATGTGTATGTATGTATGCATGCATGCATGTTTGTATGTACGTATGTACGTGTGCATGCATGCATGCATGCATGCATGTATGTATGTATGTAAGTATGTATATGTAGCGTACTGTAATGTAGAATGTAGACTGTAGAGTGCAGAATGTAGAATGTATAATGGAATGTAATGCCATGTAGTGTAGTGTAGTGCAGTGCAGTGTAGTGTAGTACAGTGTAGTGTAGTGTAATGTAGTGTAGTGTAGTGTTGTGTATGTATGCACGTATGTATGTATGTATGCATGTATATGAAATTTTGTATATACAGACATGCATATGCATACATATATAGGTACACGCATATGTGTATACGTATATGTAACTGTATATGTATGTGTATATGCATATGTATATGTATGTGTATGTGTGTATGTATGTGTATACGCATATGAACAGGTACATGTCTATGTATATGTATATGCATATGCATATGCATATGCACATGTATGTGTGCATGCACATAGGTGTGCATATATATGTATATACGCATGCCTGTATATGCATATGTGTACGTATATGAATATATGTACATGTGCATGTACATGTAAGTGCGTAAGTATATATGTTTGCATGCAGGTATGCATGCATATCTGTATGCATTCATATTTGTAGTATGTATGTATGTATGTACATAGGTAGGTCGGTAGGTAGATATGTATGTATGTATGTATGCATGTATAGATGTATGCATGTACAGATGTATGCATATTTGTGTAAATATATGTATGTAAGTATGTATGTATGTACGTATGTATGTATGTATGTATGCATGTGTATGTATGCATGTATGTATGTATGTATATGTATATGTATATGTATATGTATATGTATATGTATAGGTATATGTATATGTATGTGAGCAGGTATATGTATATGTATATGTATATGTATATGTTTATATATATATATGTATATATATGTTGATGTATATGTATATGTATATGTATATATATATATGTATATGTATGTGTATGTATGAATGTATGTATGTTTGTATGTATGGATGTATGTATGTATGTATGCATGTATGTATGTATGTGTGTGTATATGTATGTATGTATGTATGTATGTATGTATGTATGTATGCATATACATATTCCTATTTGTATATTTTTACAGGGCCGGGGACCCCCAAAAAGCGGCACACGGTGCCCCCCCCCCCAAAACGAATTTCGGCCTCCCCGAGCCTCTGGGGCGCTCCTGCAGAGTGCTTCCGTGGATCTCCGGTCCTCCTGGACCCCCCAGGCAGGTCTGTCCTGCGAGTCCGACGCGAAAAAAGAAGCTTCCACGACGGCCAAAGAGGGCCCCGAGACACCCAAAGATCGGCCCAAGACGCCCAATATGGGCCCAAGACTGCCCAACAGGCCTCCAAGACGCCCCAAGAGACCCCCAAGAGGCCTCCCAAGAGACCCCCAAGAGGCCTCCCAGACGTTGCAGTGTTCAAGCAGTTTCCTTGGCACTCAATTTCAGCAGACACTATCAATTATGTAAAGAAGTTCATTTGGCAAGACGGCGTGGCTGATTGGCATTTTGCGTTCCCTTTCCTATACCTCAACAAGACCTGGCCGGCCATCGTTCAGAAGTTCATTATCAAATCCACGAGCGGGCCATATTCGGGCCCAGGATGGAGCCCCGACATGGTTTGGCATTTTCCTCAGCCTTTCGCTCCGGTTGGTAATGTTGTCAATTTTACGTCTGTCGTTGTCCGGTCACCCATCTCGGCCAATTGCGATCACATCGACGACGAGACCCTCCGCAACGACTGCAAGCTGAAGTGCCGAACATGCAAGGATAATTGGCCTTTAGCACTAGAGTGCCAGGCTTGCAAGGGCATATGTTACTTTATGGAGAAGCATTGAAGGGCGCCTCCCAGTGGAGGATCATTACAGACCGACCTCTCTGCACTCATTTTCCGTTTGCCTCGTACCTTCTTCTTTTGATGCGGAGTGGCTTATGAACTTCCGCCAGGCTTATCGGGCAATGGCCGTGGACCCTCGAGGACGTCCGAAATGTGATGGATTTGCAAAAAAAAAAAAAGAGAGCCCCGAGAGGCTGAAATGGTTGATTTTCCTATGTGTTTTCCTATGTTTTTGGCCTTCTCGCTTTTTCCGCTTCCCCACGCTCCAACACGGCCCAAGAGGCTCCCTAGATCGCCCCAGTACTGCCCAAGAGGCCCCCAAGAAGGCCCCAACACGGTCCAGGAGGGCTCCGAGACCGCCCAAGAGGCGCCCAAGGCGGCCCAAGAGAGCACCAAGACGGCCCCAAGAGAAGCCCAAGAGGGCGCCCAAAAATTCAAAACTGAGCTTTCCGCCGCGAGAGGCCCCGAGAGGCCCCAAGAAAGCCCCATGAGGCCCCAAGAGGCTCCCCAGAGGCCCCAAGGAGCCCCCAAGAGGTCCCCAAGAGGCCCCAAAAAGATCCCAAGAGGCCCACAAACAGCCCCCAAGAGGCTTCAAAACTGCCTCCCAGAGGCCCCCGAGAGGCGTACCACGAGTTCCCAACACGGCGGTCTCCTCCTCTCATTATCCCTTCTCTTTGTCGTCGCCTTCTTCGTCGTCGTCGTTGTCCTCGTCCCCATCCTCTTCCTCGTCTTCATCCTCCTCCTCCTCCTCCTCCTCCGTAGCCATTTTGGCTCAAGATGTCCGACTGGGGGGGCTGCAAGCCTCCAGGCGGAAGGGATACCGCTAGTCCGCGGCCAGCCTCCAGTTTTCCTGTGAGCTCCTGGGGGAGCGCCATCCGCTTAATCTACTTGATTGCCGCGGCGGTGCTTGTGAGCTGTGCAGCATGGCGGCCAGGCGTGCCCCTTGGGCGGCGGGCAGCAATGGCGGGAGCAGGCCACCTCAGGGCGGTCCGGTCGGCAGCGGCTATGTGCGCGACAAGCCCGACTGGTTCTGCTGCAAGGACGGCTGCAAGAATGCGAAGGGTGAGCGCTGGTGGAACCCTGGCTCTTCCCTGTGGTGTACAAAATGCAAGCTGCACAAGGGCGCCTGTTTCGACAGCAACCGCCCAGCAGGAGGAGGCACCCCCTCGACGCGGGCGCCCAGTGTGGCCGACAGTCGAGCGGAGGCGAAGTACAATAAGTTCTACGAGGACAAGATTGCGGCGCTGGAGCAAGAGCTGCGCAGCAAGTCCTCGCAGGATGGCGACATGGAGACCGATGGCTCAGCAGTCGAGGCCCCAGCTGCAGGTGCTGCCGCGCTGCGGAAGCGCGCCGACAAGCTGGCGGCGGAGATCAAGCTGCTCAAGGGCCGCGACGACGAGGGTGGCATCTACAAGAGTGTCATCGAGACCTTCCAGACGGAGCTGGACGAGCTGCGGAAGAAGCTGCATGACGCCAAGCCCGCGGACGCCAAGCTCCAGATCGCCCGTCGGGAAGTCAGGAAGAAGGAGACCGCCCTGGCCAAGGCGGGCGACAAGCTGGCGCAGCAGGAGGAGGCGGTCGCAGCAGCGCAGCTGCGCCTGCAGGAGCTCAAGACCCAGCGGGAGCAGTGCGAGGCCGAGCTCGGCCGTGCCAAGGCCGTGGTGCACGAGCTGGTGGCTGCTGACGCTGCTCAGGCTGGCCCAGCTGCTGATGGAGGCAGCGAGACGGGGGCGGCCGCCCACACGTTCGGCATCAACAAGGCCGCGCTGGTGGTCAAGTGCGGGGAGCGCGGCTTCGGCGACCACGCGGAGGCGGTGTCCAAGCTCCTGGAGGAGTTGCTGCCGCAGCTGGTGGTGCCCGCGGAGCGCCAGGCTCCCCCCCCTGCAGGAGCGGCGAGCGCAGCTGCCGCTCACGCCGTGCCCAGCACCGAGGACCCCATCGGCAAGGCCTCCGAGGAGGCGTTGCGCGCCGAGCTCAATGTGCTGTGGCCCGCCGACACCGCGCCCGACATGCCGACGGACCTGGAGGAGCTGCGCGCTGTTGCTGCTCGCCTTGCCGCTAGCCCGCCCATCGGGGCTGCAGCGCGCATGCGAGCTGGACCGTACTAACCTTGTCCTCATGACGAGCATGGGCAAGAGCAACAGCACCGTCGCCGCGGCCGACCTGGTACAGGAGGTCGCGTGGGAGGCGGAGGGCGCAGCGGCCCGTCACCTCTTCGGCGAGGCAGAAGTTGCTGCAGGCGGCCGCGGCGCGGCAGCCATCATCGAGCGGGGGCTCAAGTCCCAGGGCAGGGGCACTGGCCCCCCCCCTCCCACTCCAGGTCGACTGCGCCTGGGCTGCCGAGGTCCCGCGGCCGCGTGAGGAGGAGGCGGCGCAGGCAGTACTGGATGAAGCTGCGCCACATGCTCTTCGAGCGCCACCTGTCGTCGCCGCAGCTTCGGACGGAGCCCGAGGTGCAGAGCCAGAGCCCCACGGATCGGTTGCTGTCGGAGCTCCTGGCCAAGGGCGTCCACTGTTTGGGGTCCAGGCGGGGATT